GGGAGCAGACGCAGGCTCCGGCCGTGCAGACCCAGAGCTGTGTTACAACAGTCCCAGGGGGTGGTGAGTCTGGGACCCGTGATTACCAGAAAGGGCCTGTCTGGCTTGATGCAGTATTGATAGCGCCTGTTGCAGGATACATAAATAGATTCTGCGCCATTAGAGTGCAGGTGACACAAGCTGGTCGCCATTTAATTGCCAAAGTTCAGCTCCTGGTGCCAGCTGCAGGGACCACAGATCATCTCCGCTTCCCTCCCAGCCGTGGGCAAAATCAAGAGCTGGCACAGACTGATGTATTTCACTTCACAGTATACACCGAGTACTTGCTTATTTGTGTAAGCTGGGAGCTCTGCGCTGCTGTCCCTTGTGGAGACCTGCTCGTTCCCTCTTCTCGTTCATTCACTGCTCATTAAACAAACTGCTTCCCACACCTTGGCTCACAGGCTGCAGCCAACACATCATAGCTCCCTAGTTTTGGGGCTCGGCTCCCCAGAAGCAGTTGATTTGGGATCTGGTGAAGAATATTTGAGCTGCTGCTGCGTTTTCTGCTCGGAAGATGGTCTGGCCTTTTGTTCCCATCCTCAGTCAGGAGCATTGTGTACACACAGCTGCCAATACAGAGCTCTGGATTTGTTCTCAGCCCGGGATCCAGGATACTCCTTTGGATCTCTGTTGACCTTTGACTGTATCCATGCTAACCTTTGCTCCTGTTGCTCATTCCCTTCCTCTTCAATTCCTGCTTGTGTGTCGTGTCTTTCTGCTTACACTGGATTGACTTTTTACTGGGCGGTAATGCAAAGCCTCTGGGCACTTGGTAATCCAGTTAACAGGTACAGTTCTGTGTGGGTTTTAAGTTAAAGAGATGTTGGCAGGTTAGGAAGAATGTATTTTAATGACATACCACCACCCCACTTTCAGCACTAACATGCCAAATGATTCAAGCGTAAAAGAATTTTTAACTATTTAATTTGCTTTCCACCATTTACGGTGTTTGCACATCCTTATTCTCCCCGCTTGAACGTAGGAAGCAGGCTCAGCACTTCTTCGTGCTCTGCTCTCTCAAGGTTGGGATGAGTCCAAGACCCTGCAGGGGAACGTTTGTTTCAAAAATAAACACTTGGCTGTAGAACAGGGGAAGAAGGCAATCGGACATCTTTGGTAGTTAGGTCTTGTAAATGCTTGCGTGAGGTTTTTCTGAATTAAAAAGCAAGAACTGAGCAGGTGATCAGATGCCTCCGTGGAAGGAGCAGGGGACAGATTTTGTCCTGATAGATCCTCTGATCTGTCCCTTTGATTCCTACCTTCAGGTTTCAGTTGAAGTAATTTATTTTTCATTACAGTAGGCTGCATCGTCTGACTTGACTTGTGTCAGTGTCTTCTCACTAGAGCTAGAGTAGAAGTGAGTGTTCAAGGCCAAGATAATAATAGTGGTTCCCAGCAGGCATTGCACTGATTTTAGGAGATCCTACTGTGAGTTCTTAGCAAGTCTGAGAATCAAGCCTCTTCTAGAAGGGAGGAATAGGAATCTGGGAACCTATGTTTCAGGACACCATGCTGAGAAAATGTGGTGATCTTCCGTAACCTAAAGCATCTTACGCACCACCATATAGATGCTCCTTTATGAGGATCTTCTGCTGTCCTTCAGTGCCATTGGTATCCTGTGCTTTGGTATTGCCTAGGTAAGCTGTTGTATTGGCCAGTGTGTCTATCTCATCTTTTGACTTTCTTTGATCTCCTTGCAGTGCCCAGGCGTTTATTTACCTAAGGAGAGCTGTCAGTCACACCATTCCTGACTCAGCAGCTGCTTAAACGATTGTGCCTAAATCGATGCTTAGTCCTGCTTGCATTCTCAGTCATGGTTGCCAATTTCCTACCCAGAAGCTGGGAAAAGGTGGTTTGGGAAAGGGTCTTAACCTCTGCTCTTAACTCCTGGTGTTTGACAAAATTGTACTGGAACACTGCTTTGAAAACATTTCTTGAATTTGCACCCCTCTCTCCACAGGAGCAATGGGAGAAGCAGGTCAAAGAGGAGGGGACACCTCTGACCAAGTATTATGCTCAGTGGAAGAAGCTAAGAGAGAAGGAGATACAACTGGAAATCAGCGGCAAAGAAAGAGTAAGAACGAAATGCCTAACTTACTGGACATGATGTGTGCCACGGGGAGACGAGAGCACCGTGTCCTGGCAGCAGGACAGTGCCTGGTCAAAACCAGCTCCACTGGTGTGAGCTGGAATTGGCTTGAGCTGTGTGAGTGCATAGGCTGGGCATCCTTGGAAAGAGCGAGAGTGTGGCCGGACTTTGGCCTCCCCGGTGTCTTCAGCTCCCTGTGGATTTGTCTTACTGGGATCTCTAGGAGCAACATCTGTGTCCTCTGCCTGTAGCCTGTTCATTTGCCCAAGTTAATAGAGGGTGGGTGAGACAGGGTGAAGTAGCGCTAGGGTAAATTTCCCTCTGCCACTGTTCAGGCTCAATGCTGTTCGAGACCCAGTGGTACAGCAGCCTTTGTAATTCAAGGCTAGGAAGCTGAAGACAGTAGTGATGGAAGAATTGCGTGTACTGGCAGGGGTAGGTTGGGTAACAGATTTGATCCTGTCTGAGCAACTGGTTTAGTAGCCTTACTGTGGATGTTACTTTAGGAACAAGCACGTGATGTAGTTTTGAAGTTTCGACTGTACACACAGTTCCTGTTCTGTGTGTTCATCCCCACATTCGTGGGCCTTCTCACATTGCTTTAGGCAGTTTGCATCATTTCTTGCAAATTGCATTGCTTTCTTGGTAGTGAAACGGAATGTGTTGAGCTTGTGTAGGCCTTTAGCTCTTTTTCAGGCCTTAAGCTCTTTTTCATGCTCTGCAGGAAATGACTGGATTGCCATCCTAAAATCGAAGTTTGCAAGAAAGTAGGGAGGGGAGGATGCCTCTACTCTTAGCAAAGGAAATATCAGAGATGAGTTCTGGTTTTCATTTTCTTGTTTCACCCGTGCAGGGGTGGCTGGTTGTGAGGTGGGACTTGCTGTCTGGACAGAAGTGCTCAGACCGCTGTTTCCCACATCTCCTGCCCGAGGAAAGGCTCCTTGGCTGCTCCTCATGGCCCTGCTCTCCAGGATGCAGAAGGTGGGGGTGGGAGGTTGCTTACATGAGGAGTCTAAAGGAAGGCTGTCTCGATGCTAATGCAATGAAAGTGGCTGAGCTAGGCTCTGGGCCAGGCAGCAGGAAATAGATATAATTGGTGTCTCCAGCGTATGGTGGGGAACAATTAAAATAATCGATGGGACATGAGGATGACTGGCTCTGAGCCAAGTCCCGGAGCGTGGTAGAAGACCTGGGAGATCCTGGAAATGCTCAGTGTCGTATACCAGCCTGAGATAAGGACAGGAGGCTGAAATTCCCTGGGGCAGCCATGCAGAGGGAACAAAAAGCACGCTTATTTTCTGTGCAAACCCAGCGGGAGAATGTGGCCTTTGCAGAAAGGAAAATTAGGAGGGGAAACTAAGAAACAGCAAGAAGTGACGGCTGCAAGTGGGACTCATCTCTTGCCCAAAACTGGCCCCGCTGGTGGGAGCTGCCACTTCCCTGGTGCTGAAGCAGCTATGACAAGGGGAGAGGAGATCAGCCCTTGGTGTAGGTAAGGCCCCGTCTCGTGTTAAAGAGAGGAGGGGAGCTGAAACTCCTTGAGGTGGCCAGGGCCAGCTGAGGTGGAGAGCTCCTCTTGAGAAGGGATTGCTTTCCTGTAGCAAGGCTCAAGGGGAGGTTGACTTTTGAGACCGGGGGAAGTCTGAAGGGCAGTGGCAGGGACTTGTTTTCTGTTTTAGAAAGTGGGCTGAACAGATAAACTGGAGAGGGAGACAGACTTTGGAGTTAGCTTTCCGAAAGGTCTGTGCTGCCTGACGTCTTAGCTTGGTGAATGGGGCTGTTGTCTGTCTCGGTGGGGACCGCTGGCTTAATGATGCGGCATTGTGAGCCCCAGCAGGAGAGTGAACGCCATGAGGCCCATTAGGGCTGGGAAAATATATGTCCCATTAGCAGCCATTGGGGGGAAAAAATAATACCAGAAAAAATCAGCCTGGCTCTCAGCTCCTATGAGCTGCAGCTTGGCTTGTATAACAACGCTGACCCCGTCTGCCCATTCTGTTTGCCTTTCCCAATGGTTTTTAATGGGATGTAGACTAATCGGCTTCGTGAGACTCAGTAGAGAGTAACCCTCTAGTTGGGGATTAAAAGACTGGCCCCCCAAATTACCTAATTACTGCTGCTTTGTGATGAACGGAGGCTGTACCTGTGAGCTGTGGCTCAGCAGAAGTCCCATTCCTTTGCTTTGTGATCACTCCACAGCTAGTAGAGTTTTCTGGTGCCTTTATTTTGAGGTGCCCATCTTGAAGGATTCTTGTGGAGTCTCAGAAAGTTGGAGGTAGCACAACTCAGCATGATTCAACACCCCAGGTCCTTTTTAATTGCTCAGGTTGAGTTCAACCGGTACTGATGTCACCCATAACTGTAGGCTGCCTTTGGAAATGGGTACTTTTCCTAGGCAATATGAAAATACAGAGAAGTCCCAACTAAGAGCCTCTGCTCCCTGCTGTATGTGCCCTGCACAAGATACTGGAGAAATTTCTCACAATGTTGAGATAAGTCTGTTTTGCTCCCTTGAACTGGAGAAGTTTGGAGAATTGGAGAAGACTGTTCCACATCATGCACGTGAGACATTTTACTCATCCACAGCTCCATGGCTACTTCAGACCTACTAAGTGGTGTGGTCCATGGAAGCACCCCATGCTTAGGATGTGTGAGGTGGGAGAATAAGACCTGGGATGATTTTTGCTTTTTGCTTACTGCTGCTGAGGAGTACCAGTGACTGGGGTCGTGGAGAACAGGACTAGCCAACAGTGGATAGTGGATGCAGCAGTTGTTCGTTGTCATAGCTGGCTTTCTGCTTCTGTTTGTGACACTTCCAACTATTTCCTGGTTAGGCAGTGCTGGATGCCTGTTTAGCTGTTGCTGAAGAGCGATAGCTGCGAATGCTGCCAGACAGGGACTCTGCAGGTGACACTGCTCTTGGCACAGAAGAGGGCCCAAGGGTGACAGGGAGACTGCCAGAGTCGGCTCAGCCGTACTGAGGACATGCCACGGGGTGCAGTGCCCAGTACCTGTTGGCATGACCACCTCTGGGGCGTGAGAGGCCTGGACCCAAGTGGAGCTACTGAGGGAGGACACGGTGGTCCAGGTCTTGGGCTGCGGGAAGCGCCGGTGCTTCTCCCTGAGGCTGCGATGGTGGCAGCATGACCTGGCTGAGGCACTTGCAGGGGCAGGGAATGCTTTAACTGAAAGGCGTCAGATACGGGGGGACTGTCTGTGACCACAGCCTAATGCTGGGTTAGAAGCATAGTTGCTGATACATTTTAGCTTCTGAGATCTTTGTGGTTTATTTCTGGAGCCTCTCACTGAATGGGTATTTCTGGAGCATCTCCCGCTGCCCTACCACCCTCCATAAAGTTACGTGCCAGGACAGATGAGCAGAGTGAAGCATAAGCCTGTCTTGTCTGCCAGAACTGGTAGGGGCTAAGGAAAATGTTTTCACCGTAGCAGCTCCCCTGCCCCGCGATGGAGCTTGCTGGAGCGTAAAAGAGGAAAGAGGACGGTTACGGTATGTCGTTAGGGCAGCTGAGGGCAGCTGTTTGGCAGTGACTCTGGATTGCTGCTCTTGCTGCGTTTTGTTCCTCAAGTCCGTTCTCTGGCATGCAACGACTGCTGTTTGGAAAGCCAGTCATGTGCCGTGTTCTTCATGTGTCTTCCCAGCACAGAGACAGCCCAGCAGGTCTTTGCAGGGCTGGTGGAAGGAGAGGCATCTCGTGGTGTGTAAGAGCAGGTGGGAAGACAATTTAAAATTAGGGCCCTGCAAATGGTGGTTGGTGATTTGCTCCCATCTCTCCTTCTCTGGCCAGCTTCTGACTTTCCATCCTAGTGCAGCAGGTTATTGCTTGTAAATGCTCAGCTCCCAGAATCAATATTGCCCAGCTGGGGACCATAACCATGAAACAGGCTGGGAGAAATTGCTGGAATTGGCTGGAGTAAATGCACGTCTCCGTGTCTCTCATCGCCTCTTCCCCCCCCATCCCCGTACTCTCACTCTTTTTCTCTCACTGCTGAGAGCTGCCTTTTTATATGGACTGTGCTTTGCTGGTGTTCCCGCTGGGGGAAGCTCACGGGAGGGTTGAAGTGGATGTGGTCAGAGAGGAGTGTCTTGAGGGTGGTCTGACGGGTGGGAGAGAGCAAATGAGTTATTACTCGCAGGGCGAATGTTGCCAAGCAAGCTAATGTGTGCTAATGCAGAGTGCTTCCCAGGAGGTGTGCAGCCGGGCGGGCAGCGGGCAGCTGATGTTCAGAGAGCACTTGGGATTTCATTTGCATTCTGATTATCTTTGCCCTGCTGGCCTGAGCCCTTGCAAGTAAATCCTCCCCCTAATCCCCCTCCGGAGAGGTGTAAAGAGCAGTGAGGTGGTGTCAATTGCAAGTACTTAATGGCATTGATATTGGCTGTCTGCAGCAGCAAGGCTCTTGGCCCATTGATCTCCGTGAGGGCTAGCAACCAGGCAAGCCATGGTGTAGACAGACCTTAAGCATCTTTAGCTCCTTGCTGTTTAACTCTGCTGAAATCTGCAGCCAAACAGACGGCTCCTGCGCTATCGCTGTCACAGCTTTTGGCGTTGGTGGAAAACTGCTGCTTTGGAGGTGACCAGCACAGTCCGGCTTGATTCTGCAGGCCACGAGCCTGCATGGCTTTCAGTCCAGAGATCTAGGACAGCCGGCTTGTCGTGGATGTCTTGCATTTTTATCTGTGCTAAGGTACCAGCAGCAGACGGCCCATTAGCCAAAGTAGTTTATTAGGTAACGATCAATAGAGCAGTGGTGCTTTGCGTGTATCATTCACCTTTGTAATGACTCACAAATCTAGCTGCTGCTCCCCTGGTTGGCAGCAGGCAGACCCAACTGTTCCTGGCAGTGTGGCTTGCACATACTGGGCAAAGCCAAGTTCCTGTGTTTAAGCTCAGCATTTTATGTTTAAAAGTACAAATTAAGGTTGTTCTTACTGTTGATTTTGTTTGTTTTCCAGCTTGAAGACTTGAACTTCCCAGAAATTAAGCGTAAGAAGCAAGATCAAAGCAAGGAGGAAGATAAGAAGGAATTCAAGGACCTCTTCGAGCTGGACACTGACTCTGATGAGGAGAATGTTGGGTTCCCTATAAAAGGTATGGGGCTGGGTACACCTTCTGTATGATGTGGGTCAGTACGGCCCTGCTCTAAGGGGGTGCGTGCTGGCCGTGTTCGGTTCAAGAGATGCTCTGTTAGGGAGAGAGAGAGCGCACAGGATGATGGTGCTTTTTGGAGGCTTTTTAGTGACAGGCAGAAGGTAGTTAGGAGGCTTTCATCTTTCTCTCCCTCTCCTACTTTGTCGCTCCAGCTCATTTTAAAGCCTTAGTCCTGCATTAGTGTTTTTCTGCGCGTGACCCATACTCTCTCCTCCCCTTAGCACCTTTCTTTTGCCACAGACACTGACGTCAAGATGATAGCCCGAGAACCAGGAGATGTGTGGCTGAACACAGACCCTGCTTTCAAAGGCTGAAAAGTAGCAGGCGTGGTTTGTATTGTAATTCCCAAAGAGTGAGGAGTTCTGCTTGTAACCTGTGCAGGTGTTGGGCTGAAGTCACATCTTGGAGAACATGAAAGTGTTTGCTGTCTTTTTGCACTGTGAGTGGAGGTGCAGAAATCCATGTTTTGCTTCCGCACCTATAAAAGAGGAATAAGAATGTGGTTGTGCCTGACAGCATGCTGGGTCTTTGCTGTGTACCTCATTGCAAATAGTGGCTTTCGTAGGGGCTGGCTGCCAGAAGAAGGATCTTTGATGGAAGAATGGTTATCCTCTCTTTGCACGCACTTCTGATTTATTTATTTTCTAGTGACTGATGTTGCAAGTATCCTTGACAAGCCAAGAAAGTCCAGAGAAAATGGAGTGATGTCACTCTGTGGCTGTGACCACGAGGGGGCCACAGTAAATTGTAGAACCTGCCTGAGAAGTTCACCACATCTTTTGAGGAAAAACTTAGATGTTCTTTTTGTAATTTGGAATGTTTGGGATATCACAGGTTTTCTAAATGCATTGTCATTCGTGTAGTAGGGCGACTTGCAGCAATATGGAGTTTTTTTATTTGGAGATTTAATCCATGGATAAAGTCCTGGTCTGTTGTGCACATTGTAAGACGTGAGGATAAATCCTGAGACGTGCTATGGAACTGGTGAGCATTGTCTCCCTCACAGGCATCTGTGACATGGGAGGAAGAAAAGGCTGGAAAACTCTTGTTTGATAGCTTGAGGTTGAAGTCGGTGGTGATGTAGCAAAGCGCGGGAGGAGAGCAGAAGTGAGCACGTGACACACCAAGGTACTGAGAGATCAGTGTGACAGCAAAGTGAGTTGCTGAGATACATCCTTGAGATCTGGGGTTGTCCTGCCTGTCGTATGAGTCAATGCCTTGGAAGAATCCCAGTGGCTTCGAAAAAGGCAGTGGTAACTGCAGTTCAGAAGGCAGGTTGCTGGGAGCCAGGGAAACCTGGGGTCTGTTCCTGTGCCTCCCAGGAGCTGCCTTCACGTACGCTTGGGAGCTTTCTTGGGCTGGTGGGCTTCTGGATGTACATTGGGATCCTAACGAGGCACACTGGTAATGAACGCTACCGATGATCCAACACAAGGTCTCTGGCAGCTGCCTGGCACCTACTCTACACAGCTCCTACCTTGTTTCTGGTACTTGCCTGCTCCCAGCAGAAATCTGCTGAATATAAAGGTTTGCAACCTATTTGTTAGGCATGGCTTTTACCCCCCTGCCTGTGCATGTGCTTCTGACATCTATCGGTGAGGTTCTCTGGCAGCTTAAGGGGCTGACATTTATTGTGAAGAGAGTGCAAACGAGTACTGAGGTCCACGTGATACCAAAGGGCTCTCCTTGCTCTGTGTGAGTCCCGCAGCTGCCCTATCTGGTCTGCGGTATCTTGTGGCTGAGCGTGCGTCAGCGATGCGGTGTCAGCAGTGGGTCTCGCCTTCCGACACTGCTCGGTCAGCTGCCTCTCCGCAGCCTTTGTTCTTTGCAGGGTGTTTTCTGGAGGGAGGGAACGGGCCCTGAAGGCAGCTTCCATCTCAAGGAGCGACTGTGCCCGGCCCCACCACGGGTCCTGCGGCGCTGGGTGGAGGCAGCGGAGCACTGGGTCTGCGCTGGAGCACAGGGTGAATCCCCCCCGGCAATGGTGTGACTCTGCGGTGGGAAAGGGACCGCGAGCAGCGAGGCTGGGAAAAGCGCCTGCATCCCGGGAGATGCATACAATGAGCTCTTGTTCTTACTCTGTGTGGGGTGTGAGATGTTCCCAGCCGTGCTCTGCATTCAGTAACTGTCAGGGCTGGCTGCAGATGGAAGTCAGAGAAGCCAGGGCTTCAGTTCGCTGCGGTGCCTTGTCTTTGTGGCCATTGTCCTGCTGGGTGGCCAGACGCAAGGGGATTTGGGCGGCCCTGCAGCTGCTGTGGCCTGCGTGTTCGCTTCTTTACCTGTGAGGTTTGAAGGCATAAGGATCTCCTCAAATAAGGCAAAGCAACAGTCTGGGACAATGGAAGGACTTTGGTTCGTCTTGAATCAGCCACAAGCTACGTCCAAGAGAGACATGTTGAGCAGCTGATGGCAGAAATCTAGGCAGGGAGATAAGACTGCCCTGGATGGGCCTTCTGGGAGAGGAAAACAAGAAATACAGCTGAGAATATCCAGTGATGCTGACCTCCTTGAAAAGTGACAGGGAAAGCCCTGATCTAAGGTTGGTGAACTGAAAGTAACTGTGACACTGATGAGTTGTGGGGATCGGGGAAGCTCATCAGAGCAGATCAGCCCTTCCGACACAGCAGTGCTTGCAGACGTGGGCAGGCAGAGATGTGGCTGGTGCTCCGGGAATGGAAGGAGGGGCATGGTTTGGGAATGCCAAGGCTGATGTGGGAAAAGAACAGGAGGCTCGCTGGAAGGGTCAGCCATACCCAGAGATGTCCGTGCTCTCCTCATTAGCAAGGCTTGGTAGCGGCACCCAAAACTCTGTGCAGAGTTCTTGCTGAGAAGAGCCAGTTTCTGGGGATATGTAGGTCTCTGCAAAGAAGGGAAAGGGAGAGAGGGACTCCTGGAAAGGAAGTTCTCTGCCAGAAAAGTCTTAGCTAGATAGTTGCAGTGGTCTGTTGCTGTAACTCATCCTCTTAGGCAACCCCAATGGGTTAAATCTGTGAGGATGGTTTCCCTGGTCTGGAAAACTCTTCTCCCTGATGATTACTACATGAAAGTCGGGGTTTCAGAACCTGCTGCTGGCACAGCATCGTTGTGGCTTTCTGGTGGGATGTCGGGTATGGAGGCATAGTGAAAATGGCTCCTAACCCCTTTCTCCCCCCAGCCACAGCATTCGGCTTGGCAGAATCTTTCCTGTGTTGACAGGACATTCTTCTTCCAATTAGTAGTTGTTTTGGCCTGTCAGGTCCCAGACCAAATTCAGAAGAGTGGAAAATTGCCTGCTAAAAGCCAGGAAATCATCAGTTTTCTGTTTATTTAGCTACTGTTCAAAGCCCCACTCACCTTTGCTTTTTATTTAAATTAAGTATTATATCAGTGAGGTGCTGATTTCAGTTTACACTGTCCCTAATCTCTCTGGAAGAGGGTAGGCCTGGAGAGCGACTGGATTTCTTGGGTTAACCATAGCTAGCCAAAACAACTTGCTCATTAACCAACTTCTGCTTTAGACCTTTGTATTTCTCAGAGCAGAGCAGGCTTCTGAAGAGGTCTTTCCCATCACAAGCACGTTTTTCCCATCCGGAGGGGGCTGGGGTCCTCCCTGCTCACAGTTTGCCGTTCTGGGGGGGGCTGGGTGCCAAGGGTAGACAGTGAGAACTTGTCTCTGCACGTGTTGAGGGGGTTAAGGTGCGGATCCCGTTGTCCTCCAGCAGCCCTGCTGCAGCTGTGCGTTACCTTCCCTTCTGTTCCGAGCGTGCCCCTCTCGCCTCCGCCGTTGCCGTGCCGTAGCAGAGGGAGGTTTGCCTGTGCTGCTCCCAGATGGGGACCACCCGGCCCTGCTCTCCTCCCACCGGCACAGCATCTGGCAGAGGCACCTCCTCCAGAATCCTCCTGGAACAGCACCCAGCATCCCTCCAGCAGGCAAGGAGGGGCGGCTGGGGACTGCCCTGGAGCTGCGTCGGAAGCATCCTGGATTTCCCAGAAAGCAGGAGAAGCTGCGACGTGGGCTGGGAAGCAGGTTCAGATGGGGTGGGTTGCTATGGGGAGAACCAGTGTGGGTGTAATGCTGTGGCAGTGAATTCTCACTCCAGGTGCTCCTGGAGGTATCCTTGGAGTGACTGAGAGGCAAAAGTGAGCTCCAGCCAGGTGTTATGGCCCTGAATCTTTCCACCCCTCAGCTCCAGGGCTGTAGCTGTGTGTGTGGAGGAGAGGGTAACAGGCAGGTGTGTAAAGATGCAGGTGCAACCTCAGCACCTCCAGATCCCTTGCACTATATGGAGATACCAGGGAAGACAAAAAATCACATTCAGGGCAGGGGAGGTTACGGGGCGATCAGCAGCTTAGAGATGTTCCAAGCTGAGGACTGAAAAGAGACCGTGTAATATGCACTGATGAATTTGTTGATTCTGGTTGTGCCTGATCCTCGTCGTTAATGTGGCTTCCACAGCATCCTCTGGTAACGTGGTAAGACATGCCACAACTTTAACTTAGGCATTATTTGAAAAAAATAATGATTTTCTTTATGCCTACTGCCCACTGAACTGGCTGATCAGCCTCTTGCGCTAGCTGGAGCCATCAGCCTGCGTTGATGGACCGTGTAGGATCCAGACACAAACCTATCTCGTAGACCCGTCTGCTGAATCCTAACCCCAGTGTTGCATTAGGCCAGAGATGAAAGACTGATAGCAGGCCACCCGCTCCCCGTGGCCCAGGCCTTCTCCCTAAGCCTTCAGGTCCTGCAGGACCCAGCAGTAGCTAAGCTCGCTGATCCTTCCTTACCTTAACCTTAGCCTAAGCAGCCTCACAGCACCCAAAACCGTGATAAGCCATTTATCTTGGACAGCAGCGGCCTTTTCCCTAGCTCCGTAAGCTTCCAGGTCTTCAGTCTCTTCTTTCCTGAGTCCCAACCCTGACTTCAGCCTTTGCTGTAGGCCACAGGTCCCTGGTAGAAGAAACCTCCCACCCATCTCAATCCTCATTCTCCCTTCTTGGGTGTTGCCGAATCCAGCAATGACTGAAGGGTTGGATCTCTTCCGAATCGCAGTGAGACTAGCAGTAACAAACGTTTCTGTGTCTGGTGTCACGTTTGTGGAGGTCTCATTGGGTTTCTTGGTGGTTTGAGCCCCCTGCCCTGTGAGTACTGGCACTTCTGATTATTTAGGAGGTTTCTGAAAGAACAGAGAGGGTGGTGGACAGTTCTTCAGACTCTGGTCAGTAAGTTCATCAGCACAAGCCTGTGTCGGCTCCTGTCCGCAGGCGCGGGTTGGTTCCTGTGCCGGGTCGTGCTGCGAGACCGCAGCCCAGATGGGGTTTGGTGGGAGTGCTGCTGCCTAGCCCACCGCGGAGGAGAAGCCCCTGCTCTGGGAGTCGGGACGGAAAATTCAGGTGTAGTAACTGAGGCAGGAGCGGGAGGGCTGTCTCGAGGCAGCTGGAGTGGGGTTTGAGACAGGGCTTTGAGCTCACGTGCCCAGCGTCCCAGCGCGGTGGTCCGGGGGGGCTGCCCGCTGGCTCCCTGCTGCCGGTGGCTTTGTTCTGGTCTGCGCCCGGCTGTGGTGCAGCCACACCAGGGAGTAAATTGCGAGCTGATGTGTGCAGCAGATACGGCTGCACAGGAGAAGGAAGGAGAGTGATGAATTTGCAACTGTTTTTTCACCTTGTGAGTCTGAGGGGAGATTCCCCCTACTCTTGCCGTGTGCAGGTGCAGCTGAAAGCTGCCCGCTCGTTGCAGCAGGGCCGTGCAGCCCCGGCATCCTCCCCAAGGAAGGGCGGTGAACGCAGACTGCTGCATCGCGTCGGGACGAGCTGCCCTCTGGAATGGAGACAGCATGTGGCAGGCAGGAGAGACTCCCCTGCTTGGGTCTCTGCGAGGTCTCAAGAGGGGAGGGAAACAAGTTTGCGCGTTTGAGGAACCCCGGAGCAGGCACGGGCAGAAAGAGCCGGGAGATGGGGAGGAAAGCGTGGATTTGATCAATCTGTGTGTCGCTGGTGGGGGTGGGGAAGTTCCTGCGTTCCTCTCATTTACCAGCTGACAGATCTCTGGGAGGAAAGGCGGCTGCTCCTGGAAATTATTAATGGCTTAGAAAGAGGTGCTGGGCTGCCTCGTCATGAGGCAATTAAAGGCGAGAAGGGAGCGTGGCTGCGGCGTCTCTGCGGGCCTGGCTGTAATGAGTGATCTGTCCGCATTAGGTGTTGGTCTGCCTCTAATGAACCTGAACAGGTTTCTTCATTTATCCCTCACGTAATCATATTACATCAATTTAATGCCAGGCTGGTGGGGGCCAGGGGTGTGGAAGGGGAGGTCAGGCATTTTCGTTTCCTAGCAGAATAATCCTGGGCCTTCTCAGTGGCAGCGTTCCTGCTGTGGGCTGTTGGCTTGAGGATCTTGAGGCAGAGTGAGGAGGAAGAGGGGAAGCACCCTGACCATCATCTTCCGGAGTCTTGCGGATACCCGTCCGCCTCGGGAGATGGAAGCGTGCGTTCTGCGTGAAGGCTGGACTGGGGCCTCTGTGCGGGCACGTCTGTGGAAGGGCAGGCAGGGGCTGAGCTGCGGGGAGAGGAGCAGCAGGCTGGAGAAACTCAGTGAATTCCTCTTGGTGGCCTGCTGCCCGTGTCCTAGCACGTAGGAGTGACCCAGGGGCCCGATACTCAATCTCTGCATACTCTCAGGTGAGCTGCTAGCTGGATCCATCGGTGCTTCTGCTACTGCTGCGTGATGGATGAGAGCGTGCCCCTCTCGGAGGCTGCCTGAGCCGCTCGGGTGCCCGTCAGCGTGATGTGGTGTGGGGAAGAGCAGCACAATCCATCTCCTGGGGAGCAGGTGCTCTCCGCACGGCTGCAGGCGCCCGAGATCGCTCC